CCGATCGAGCTCAATCGGATCGATTAAGGTGTTTACATGAAGGCTTTTCAGTCCAATTGAGCCGTCAATCCGATTACAAATGGATTATTTGGTTGCATGTAAACATACAGTATATTATATACAGTTTGTGAATGGATGATAAGCATACATAGTATATACACCCAATTCAGAGCTATATATATATATATATATATATTTTTTTTTTTTTTTTTTTTCTCTCACCCTAACAGCAGCACAGGCCATTTTACATGTGACTGAAGATTCATCTTTCAGACTTCGCTGCAGCAGAGGCACAAAGTTTTCGAGTGTCAAAGAGTTTCCTGAGAAAACAGAAAGACAGAGAATGTGAAAACAAGCCTTAGAGTGTGTGATTCATTTGATCAAGCTGTAGCAGTAGTTCTCACCTGTGATGGAGTGGATCTGGGACAGCCATGTCTCCGTGTTGTAGCGTGTATTGAGCTGGATGGCTTGGATTAAAGCCCCACACAGGATGGCTGTGGCTCCTCTAACAATAACTAGGGCAGCACCGAAACTTTGGCAAGAATGATTCTGATTTTATTACTTTCAGTGTAAACAGTGACTGATAACGGAGAATGTAGGCCTATTGACAGTATCAAAGTCGCATCAGTTGAGGCTCGTGCAACCTGACTGACTCATGGAGAAATCAAAACTATAAGCGCAACAGCACACACAAAGAAACAAACATGAACAAACATACTGCAGTAGAAAAAAAGATAAATATTCTATATAATATATGCAACATCACATGACCAAGAGTGATGTTTTCCCGACTTTCAGCACGATTGCAAATGTGACATTGATTTTATACAACTTTAGTTCAATAAACAAGTAATATTAACTGACTTACATTTTAGACACATTATTGACAGTTTTTGCTCCATTTCGCTAATGAAAATAGTTCTAAGCAAAGCCACAGCAGCACAGTCGCGCATCTCCGAGCAACACACAACAGTTCTGTTACTGAATGATTCAGCATTTTTTAACGAATCGGGTGAGTCAATGATTCAGTGAGACACTCATAAAGACAGTCACTTGCTTCATTTATTGAATGAATCAGCCGTTTGAACGAATGGTTGAATCAATGACACACTCATTAAAGGGATAGTTCACCCAAAAATGAAAATTTGATGTTTATCTGAAACAAAGTCACCTACATCTTGGATGCCCTGGGGGTAAGCAGATAAACATCAAATTTAAATTTTTGGGTGAACTATCCCTTTAAGACTGTGACTTGCCCCCACCTACCGGTGGTTTGAATTCATATTTAAAAGTATCATTGCATTTTTCCAACATTTCATATTTGTATGTCAAAAAAATAAAACATTAATCTAATAACATTGTTTATGCATTTGCAATTTTTAATAAATGCATTTATGGAACCTCTTATCTTCATTAAACAGTCTGAGTAAATACATCTAAATGGCACTTTCAATGCAGCTTCTGTGTTTCCTCTGCAGTGGAAATATGGAGTTTGTTGATACTGATTTCATTTGAATGGTAACAACCATGTAGTGTCTTATTATTCTAGCTGAATGTATTGATAAAATTTAAGAATTTGACGTAAATGGTGACATGTACATTGAATAAGGTTAGGAAAATATTGCCCTTCATAAAGTTAAAAAGTGTAACAGAAATCAATTTAAGGCAAATATCACAAATATGCTGATTAAAGTAATACCTGATAGAGCACTGATGAGACTGTTGCTTCAGAATAAATTAAATTTATGCCAGTACAAAAAGAAAAAAGAAAAAAAAAGAACCACTTTTTTTTCCCCCGGACAAGTAACTTTTTTTACTTGGACAAGTGAATGACTGATTTACTTGTCCGAAGGAAAAGCACATGTCAAGGCTTAATGTCGAGCCCTGCTATTAAAAAAAAAATCAAGTTAACTGCACAGTTTGGGCCCTGCTGTTAATTTGTTTAAAGTCCCCCTGTAGTCAAATATTTTATCCCTTAAAACTTATCTTTGATCATCAAAATGACATATTTAAATGTTTTTTTTTTGTGAAAAT